GAGGCAGAGAACACTCTCTATCTCCTGGTTGTTCGACTGTGGGATTTCGGGATCCGTGAGCAGCGGAGAATCGGTCGGATCGGTTTGCTGGCTCACGGCGGAATCTAAAACCTAGCAACATTGCTCGGTTTATATACGCCCGCGGTGGCGTGTCGGCGTGGCGGGGATACGCGACGGCAATCGCGCGCGCCGGGATGGAGCGGTGGAGCGTTCGGGTAGAGTCCTAGATAATAGAGAAGCGACATTGAAATCGATAGGTGCGATATATCGATAAAGCCGCCATTTTGTTTCTCTATATGGAATAGGAAAGTGCGTATAAGAAACTGTCGATTTTAGAAACGGTGTGCTTGTCGTAAATATATTACAGCGTAATGAAACCTATATCCCATATCTCTTCTAAAGTATTCTGAACATTATTTACACAACACAATAAACCTATGTATGATTTTAATAATCGTAAATATATGTATAATTATATTGTGCTATTTTAGAAATTCTTTTGTGTATCCATAATTTTACAAAATATAAGATTTATTTTTATAGGAATGAAAATGGCTATGGGGAAAGTTGCAACTAAATGAACATATATAGAAAAATTACATCTCTGTTATTCTCAGTCTATTTGATTATTAATTACTGAAAATTTTGTAAGCGTAGCAAATTTAATAATAATAAAAACAAATTATTTATACAAATGTATTTATATCTTTTTATCTTTTGAAAAGTTGTATCATATATCAAAAAGAGCGTTATTTAATTTTAGTTACGCAATTTTATCTTCTATGTATATAGATATGAAAGTTATTTACTTTGAAACATGTCGACAATATACAAGGAAAGTTGTTAAAGAGTCAGAATGCTTGTAAAACATTATATTAATACACAACACACCCGATTGCATATGAATATAGCTTCTTGTTGCCTTAATCAATGTAACATGTACATACAATCAAGAAAAACGAAAGATATATTAATTCATAAGATTATACTTGCAGATACATATAATAAAGTAAATGAAAACGTACTGTGTATTTTATTGTAAATTATTAATAGTTCTTTGAGGAATAGTGTAAAAAAATTTATATATTACTTTACTACGTTTTTTATAGATACATATATCTACGAGACAATAATATTCGATTTATTTGACATCTATAAAAGAAAATTCATTTTAAATTAAATAAAATATGATTTATTTTATATTTGTACTTGGTTCAACTCTCAATTACAATTCGAATAATTGTGCTCTTCAGATTTCAAAATTTTCCTCCGCAGCTGGCAATATTACGATCGTTGCAACCAAAGGTTTTGGATTTGCTTTCTTGCAGAGTAATATTTTAACTTTCCCTGATATTTGACCCTTTAAGTTTGCGCTAACAAGTAATGGCATTGAATATGTATGTTCATTAAATGGCTTCGATGGGAGACTATCGTTAAAAACTGAAGGAATTGCTCCGATTTTCAGTTTCCTCTTACCATCTTCTCTAACACGCTCCCAAGAAAACCTGTCAAAATGCTCCTGAAAAAATATGTATGCTATCAGTAAATGACTTCGCTATATATGTATATGTATATATTTGCTACACTGCAGCTTACAGAGCACACAAACAATGGATCCTTAGGCTCCCAAGTAGATCCATTAATATTCCTGATACTGTTAATCCATCTAGCTTTCTGTCCTTCATTTCTAGGAAAACGATGAAACATAAGAGTTTACTCCACAGTACCGGATTGAGCTCCGGTTGCAGAGCGGTGAACACCGTCGTACGATGAATTCCAAAAGACAGGGTGCCGATCACCGCGCACACGATTAGATCGTTCTTTAGTCTGGCGTTCACTGTCGAGCGTAACTTCTCCGGCAAAGGATCCACCAGCTCAGTATCTGACATTTGCTCGCCCACCTTGATCTTTACGTCTTTCTTCCTGCCGGACGTCTTGCTCTTGGTCTCCTTGTAACTCGCGGCCACGTTATTAGGCTGCGACGACGACGTGTTTTCTATGATTTTGGCTTCCTTCTCTTACGTGTACCTGTCTCCTGTCTCTGGTGGCCACAAATTTGTCTTGAGGATGTCCTATATCACGGTAGGATCCGAAAAATCACGGCCTTTCACAGAACCGTAACACTCGTAACAGTAATGTCTCGCGTTGTCTCACGTGCAGCAGGCCTCTAACGTGCATTAACCTCACTTATTTAATCATAAGGGAGAAACAAAATGGCGCTGGATCACGTGATTTAGTTAGCCAATCAGACCATTCCCTTCAATGTCGCTTCTCTATTATCTAGGACTCTACGTTCGGGAAGTACGGCGCCCCGACTCCGCGATTGCGTTCGGTGGCTCTCGGCCGTTTTCGGCACCGCTCGGCGCTTCAAGTCGGTTGCCGCGCTAAGTCCGTTTGCGGACTGATACGCGAGATTAATAGTTTAAAAAGGGCACACCGTGCCTTGTCTCGCCCGGCGGGTGTTCGGCCGGGCGGCATCCGGCTGATGCTCGCCGGGAATGATGCGTTTTGGGGCGCATCGTTACATCACCCCCCTCCTTTTTAAGCGCGAATTTGGCGCTTCAGGTCCGGGCCTTTGGTTTGGCTGGCAATTTTTGGATCTTTCGGATGGTCCCTTCATGGTTGAACCGTACGTGCCACCTGTAGCCCCTTTCCGTGGTTTTCCACTCCCGGGTGTTGTGGACGGCTCCATGGGGCACCAGGATGACGTGGCCCGGCTCCACAAGTACCGGGATCTTCGGGGTTGCCCGCGGGCCTACGGGTCGGAGTGCCTAGGTCTCTGCGGCTGGTGGTGCGGCAGGCGGTGCGACCGGTAGTGCGGCCGGTGGTTCCGCCGGTGGTATAGCCGGTGGTGCGATCGGCGGTGGCGTCGGCTTGGCGGCGATCGTCTTGCGCGCCAGGTACGTTGATGCGGTGATGCGGCGGGCCGGCCTCGGTGGTGGCGGGGTCGTCAGCCATTCCATTTTCCGTCTATGCTGGTGGTCCGATCTCTGGACCATGCATCCGACCGTCGGCACGTTTTTGCGTGACGGCGGAGCTGCTGCGGGTTTTGAGGCCTCGGCGACGGCGGCAGCGGAGGCGGCGGATCCCGTGGTGAACAGCTTCGTCCAGGTCGTGCCAAAATCCGGGCAGGCCGGGTCGTAAGCGACGGGCTCGGCGAGGAGTTCCTCGATTTCCTCGACGATGCTTTTCTCGGTCGTGGTTGTCTCCATCTCGGGAAATTTGACTCGAGTGTGTCTTTCGACTTCGGGGCTCGTTTATATAGCCGATCTTTTGTTTATTGTTTAGCGGGGGCCTCTGAATTTCGGCGCGAGTTTTGCGTTGAATGCTGCGGCTTTATTGGAGAGTGGGTACTCGCGCTTCCATACCCAGTCTCCAATTTTCGGTGTCCACGCTCGTCGTCGAGATTATAATACTTCTGTTGTCGCTGGAACGCGTGTGCGAGATGTATTCTCGCGAGTTCGAAGGCCTCCTCGAGATGTCGGCGCGTTTCGTCGGGCGGCGGTGCGGCGGTTTTTGGTGCGGCGTCTCGATTGAGAGGGGATACCGGCTCGCGACCGTAGACAAGATATCAGGGGTGTATCCGGTTGCCTCGTGCCGCGCCGTATTGTACGCGAATTGCAACTCCAGTATTCGCTCGTCCCAATTTCGATGATTTTTGTCTACATATTGAGATACCATTGTCTTTATTACGCGGTTCGTTCGTTCTACCAGGTTGCAATGTGGCGCGTGCACGGACGTATATGCATGCCGCACGTGATGTGCGGCTAGCATTTTTTCAAGTTTCGCGAACCGGAGCTGCGTCCCATTATCTGACAGGATTACCTCGGGGCATCCGTGTCGGTACAGTATCGCTTCGGCAATGTTCGTCGTGACGGCAGGCGCGGTGGCGCGACGTAAGGGACGCATCTCCAGCCATTTTGAGAAACGGTCTTGCATGGTCAGGAGCCATGTATGCCCTCCTTTTGAGCGCGGCAGCGGCCCTATTAAGTCTAACGTGACTTGTTGCCAGGGGCGGACGACGGAAGAGCGTGTAATGTACCGGCTGGTCGTGTTTGCGCGACTTTATGCTTTAAGCATTTTTAGCAGTTTCGGACGTACTGCGCTATTTCCCGAAACATGCCGGCAGTAGTAGTACTGGGCGATCCGAGCGATTGTTTTCGCGATCCCGAAATGTCCAGCCGTAGGGGCGTCGTGATTCTGGTATAGGATTTCGGGGCGGCGGTCTTTGGCTACGCACTCTTTCCATTGCTCGTCGGCGGGTGTTTCTTTGAAATCGAGATTGTGGAGTACGTGACGGAGTAGTTTTCCCTCCTTTATTTCGTAGTCTGGATATTCGCGTGGGGCGTGTTGCACGGCGCGCAACATGCGGCGATACCAGTGGCAGCGGGGCGGGGGGGTAACGGCGGCTGTCGTGGGCTGGCGAGATAGCGCGTCTGCCACCCGGTTAAGGGCTCCTTTAATGTAGCGGATCTCTAGGTCGTATTGCTGGAGCTCGAATGCCCACCGGCCTAGTCTCCCGGTGGGTGCGTCGATTTTCTGCAACCACCGGAGCGACTGGTGGTCCGTGAGAACGGTGAATGGGTACCCCTCGAGATAATCCCGCATGCGGCGGATTCCCCATATTACGGCTAGGCATTCGAGCTCGGTCGCGCTGTAATTCCGTTCGGCCTGATTGAGAGTTCGGCTTGCGTATGCAATGACTCGTTTGCCCTCCGGGAAATTTTGCGTTAGCACGGCCCCTACTCCGGTTGTGCTGGCGTCGGTTTGCAGGACAAAACGACGCGTGAAATCCGGGCAGGCGAGAACCGGCGCGGTGGTCAGGGTCGTCTTTAATTGTTCGAATGCGTTTTCTTCCTCGGGCCCCCATGCCCACCGGGCGTGTTTGCGGGTTAACGCGGTGAGGGGCGCGGCGACGGTCGCGAAGTTTTGTATAAATCGCCGGTACCAGGAGGCGACGTCTAGGAACTGTCGGATTTGCTTTACGATTTGTGGCCGCGGCCACTGGGCGACGGCTTTGACTTTCTCGGGGTCGGTGCGTATCTCTTCTCGGTCGACGATGTGCCCTAGGTATTGTAGACGGTCTACGCAGAATCGGCACTTGGCCGGATTGAGTTTTAAGTTTGCGTCGCGAAGCCGTCGGAAGACTTCCCGTAGGATTCAAAGATGTTCTTCGAATGTCTCGCTAATTATTATGATGTCGTCGAGGTATACGAACACGTGGGGTTCTAATTCGGGTCCGAGCACGGAGTCTAGAAGCCGTTGGAACGTGGCAGGGGCGGAGTGCAGGTCGAACGGCATTACTTTGAAATGGAAGAGCCCCTTCCCGGGTACCATAAACGCGGTGATGGGTCGACTGGACGGTGTGAGCGGTATTTGCCAGTAGCCACTTTTTAGATCAAGCGTGGTAAGGTATTTTGCGCTGCGTAATTTATCGAGGATGGCGTTAATCTGAGGGAGTAGGTAGGCGTCGGGCTCGGTTGCGTCGTTGACCCTCCGGAAATCTATACAAAATCGGTAGCTGCCGTCCTTCTTTCGAACCACGACTACGGGCGAGCTCCAGGCGCTGTGGGAGCGTTCTATTACTCCGTCTCGTTCCATTTTCTCGACTTTGCTGTCGATAACGGCCTGCATGGCCGGATTACGGGGCCGGTATCTTTGTTTGATCGGACTGGCGGTCGGTTTTAGGCGGATGTCGTGCGCTGTTCGGTCGGTGGGCACGCGGAGGGTTTCGAAAAGCGGTAATTCTTGCTCGAGGAATTCTCGTAACCGTATTTCCTTGGTCGGTGTGCGCGGTGCAATCCCCTCGGTCGCGGCCGTCCCGGGGGTGGTTTGCGGCGTTATCGGTTTGGCTGGCGCGGGTACTGCGAGACCGATTTTTGCCCAAAAATCTACTCCAAGGAGCACTGCGCTCGCTAGGTTTGGCATGATTGAAAATTCATGCCAGATCGTGCGTCTCGTGGTTTGGACGGGTAGCCGGACGCGGCCGGGGAGAACGATGCGGTGGCCGTTGGCTAGTTGCACCTCCTTTTCGTCGGGGACGATCGCAAAGCCTAGGTTTTGCGCGAGTCGCGCGGTGTTCTCGTTTACGAATGAGATTTCGGATCCCGTATCGAGCAGCGCCATGAGCGGTTTCTCGTTTACCTGGATGTCGAGGTGCGGCCGCGGAAAAAATTTTACGTCGAGGACCGGGGGGCGGCCGGGGTTTCCGCGGTCCCGGCGGCGTTTCCCGGCGGGGGATGGCAGTCTTTGGTGAGAACTCCATCCTTGCTGCACTGAGAGCAAAACTTCTGCGCGGGTCGACGGCAATCGAATCGGGTGTGTCCCCGTTGTTTGCACTTCCAGCAGCATTCCCGTCGGTTGTACGCGGCGGCGGCGATTGGCGTTTCTGCGGTATTGGTTTTCGCGGGGGCGCGTTTTTTTCGATTTTGCTGAAGCCTTTCGTATTCGCTGGCTCGCTGCTGGAGGTCGCGAGGGCTATTGACGTCGCCTCGTCAGATGCGGCTCTGGTAGTCGGGGTGCAAATTTTTATATAATTGCTTGACCTGCTCCTCGGAGGAGTATCCCCCCGCCCGTCGCATGAGCGTGAGTAGGTGTGTCGCGTATTTCACGTAGGCCTCCCCGTCCCTCTGCGTACGGTCGCGGATCTCGTTAACGAGCTGAAATCGGTACCGGCGCGGTAGGAATGTTTCCTTAAAGTCTGCGATAAAGTCGTGCCAATCGAACCATCCGTCGCGGTTGTTACGGTACCAGAGGAGCGCGTCTCCTCGCAGGAGTTCGGGTAATCCGCGGAGCCAGTGTTTGTCCGAGAATTCGTACGCGGCGCGAAGTTCGTCGATGCGCTCGAGAAACGCCCAGGGATCCTTTCCTTTAAAGTGTAGTCCCCATTTCCGCATTTGGTCCATGATCTGGGTGGTGGGGGGTGCGGGGGGTGCTGGGCGGTCGGCCGGAATTATGGTCACCGATGATGTCGCGGCGGGTACGGCCAGTGTCAGAGGCGGCGGGGGGTTGTTCTCTAACGCGGTTTTCTGGAACATCTCGGGGTGGGCGTCGATAAATTGGCTTAATCGGTTGCGGAGCTCTTCGAGCGTGCCCTCGGTGTCGAGTCCGAGGGTCTGAAGTTCGCTTATTAGCTCGGCTTTGGTCAGCCAATAATAATACGCCTTTATTTTAGCCGT